AGGAGAGGTGAGGTAGGAGAATTGTTTCAAAGCCAAAGCCAGCAAGACTAAGGTATGCAGCAAGGCAAAGACAAACAAGAAAGACCCTGACAGAACAGAGCAGAGAGAGAAAACCAACTCCCAAAAGTTGTCTTCTTACCTCCACGTGGACACATCACACAGCACACAAATAAGAACAATAAAAATAATTTTAAAAAACTTTTAACAAATAAATACAACAAGGAACAGTGCGCCCCCTTGTGGCCAAACTCTTCAAACATTGCAGGGTGGTTTTCCTGATCTTGGAACTTCCGAGCCCCAGAGAAACCAGATTACTGTAAATGTTTAATTTAAACCGCAAAATGACTCAAGAAGCTGGACTTTCACATTTTAGAAAACAAACACAAATAATATATACAAGTCAAAATGCATTTCAGAGGGCTAGAGAGGTGATTCAGTGGTTAAGAGCATTTATGGATTGGATCTATGTTAGTGGCTCACTATCATCAATAACTCCAGTTCTAGGACAGCCAATGCTCTTGTCTGACCTTTGGGAATGCCAGGCGTGCATGTGGTCTGTGAATATACATTCAAGTAAAACATTCATACACATAAGTGAATACATATAATATATATTTATAGATTATATGTTGTATTATAACATACTATATAATATTATATGTTATATAATATAAATATAAGCAAATACAAAATGCATTTTGAGTTAAAAACATTTAAAAGGTAAAATTTAATAGTGGTAGGATCTGGCACTATTAGTTTTGTAAATCTTATTTATTTATATTGTCAAACATATAAATGCATTATTCACAATAGCCAGAAAAGTGAGCCAGCCTTGATGCCTATCAATGGATGAGTTGATAAAGGAAATGTGGTGAACATATACAATGGAATTTTATGCTGCAGTGAAGAAAAATAAAATCATGACCTCTGCAGTAAAATGGCTGAAACTGGAAATCATTTCATTAAGTGAAATAAGCCAGACTCAAAACGACAAATACTGCATGTCTTCTCCCATCCACGAAACCGAGATTTAATACTGAATGTGTGTTTATGTATTATAAATTATACATTTATGTACTTGTTGGTTCATGAAGCTGTAAAGGGCCTCATGAGAGGAGAGGGAGATGTGAAAGGAGCTGGGAAAGGGGTAATGAGTAGGAAGCAAAAGAGGGATGGACTGAGTGAAGAGAGAGAATCAGCTTGGGGGAGGGGAACCAAAATGGCAGGAGGGAGAAAAGCAGAGGAGAGTACAGAGACACACAGGAATGAAGAGCATGTATGCTTAGCCTAAAATATTAATTTTAAAATTAAAAACACAGCAACTGAACAAATATGATTCACTGCAATATTTCTACACGTGCATGCAATGTGAGCTTTGAAGTCTTGATTTTTTTCCTTCAGTTTTTTTCCCTTTTATTGACCATGGATTTTTTTTCTCATATAATACATCCCGGTTATAGTTTCCTCTCCTTCTACTCCTCCCAGACACTCCTCCTCCATGCTGTGACGAGAACAAGGCAGTCCCTACCAGAAACCAAACCGACTGAACGAACCACTTGATCTTGGACTTCCAGCCTCAAAAGTTAGGGACTAAATAAACCGCTTTTTACCCATAAAGTTCCTAGTGCGGTGGAGCCCCAGGCAGATGAGCATGCTGAAAGGGCCGTAGCTCCACTGCTGCAGAACGCAGTGAAAGGGAAACAGCCACCTCAATGGGTCCCAAGAATCCAGGGATTGTCCACCTCTGAAAAGAGGGAAACACTGTATGGGAGAATGTCCAACTCTCTCAAAGGAGCCCTCAGTTTCAATGACAGCTGCCCAGGATGATGAAAGCCGGGAGGGCTTCCTGGTGGAGGACCCCTCAAAGTAAAGATGGAGATGAAAGAGCCCTGGGCAATTTTTAACGTGGTGTGTAAAATGTTAATTTTATTTGGCTGGAAGCTTTGTCCTCTAACATAGTCTGTAGCTCATGATCCCTTTCTAAATAAAACTGTACAGAAAACTGTTGAACTTGAGAGAATGGGGTCTGAGCTTAGCAGCTTAGAGGAGGTACCAGATAGGATATGAGGTCGTAAGTCTAGAAGCTGACCTGTTGTTCAACCCCACCTTGTGGCTGAATTCAGCAGTGTAGAGGGGGCTAGATAGGATACAAGGTAAGATGGATCCCCTCTGCAGGGCAGCAACTATGAACTAGCAAATTAATTTTTTTCCCAGATAAGGCTAGCCTTGACCTCACTATGTAGCTGAGGTTGTCCTTGACTCCAGTTGTTCAGCTTCCATTTCCCATGGGCTTAGGTTGTAGGCATATTCCACCACACCCAGCTTTGATTTTTTTTTTTCAGATAGAATACTATAGTTGATTTTCTGCTTGGTTGGGTTTTGTTTTGTTTTGTTGCAGATTACCTAATATGCTGTTTGTCCGTTTTCTTCCTTAATTCACAGTGACTTTTTCATTACCTTTTCTTTCGACAACTTTGTGGTGGAGAAAGGTCCTAGATTCGGTGCTAATTCTAGGACTGGATATAGTGATCTAATGTGTGCTTTTCTGTTCATTCAGTCTTGAGTCCTGAGTAACAACATCCCTTCTTCAGATAACCAAGAATGATAATCCTCCAAGCCCCAAACTCAGCCCTCCTTATGTCCGTCCACCCAAGATTTGATAGGTTGAGACCTCTAGTCCTCGTACAGGCAGGAGCTATACCCCTGGTCAGCCTTAAGAAGCCTCAGCAAATGGACCATCTTCCTTCATTCGTTCTTGAGGAATTCAAGTCCTGGAGGCAGAAGTTAAAGCTGTGAGGATAGGGGGTGGTAACTAACGGAGTTTGAGAGGAACTCCTCCACTCAACCATTATCTGGAAATTAAGGAAATCTCAGAAACAGGATTACAACCTTGTTTGTCATTAAACATGTTTTGACTTCCCCTTGACTGGTGTCAAGACTTCCTTAACCTTTTTGACCTTTGCTTTCATCTGCTCAGCCTATTGATCTATTGATCTAACGCCACCACACTGTGATTCCTTTTCCTAAAGAAAAGCTTCTAAAGAAGCATACTGAAGCTTTGTCACTTAATCTTTTAAACCTTTTGGGCCCTGTAACTCCAAAAGCCACCAATGTTGAATATCAGCTATTGTTTTATTTTGTTTGTCTAAGACAGTCTCAGGTCCCTGTGCTGGGCTGACACTCAGTGTGTAGCTAAAAATAGCCTCGATCGCTGATTCTCCTGCTTTCTCAATAAAAAAGGCTGCAAAAACAGCTCCTGTAACAATACTTAAATGTGACTCTCTTTTGGGAAGCCTCACTCAACATAGTCCTGGTTGGCCTGGAACTGGCTCCATAGACCAGGTTGACCTTGAACTCACAGAGATTTTTCTGCCTCTGCCTCCTAAGAGCTAGGACTAAAGGCATGCTTCTCCATGCCATGCTTGTTCTGCATTTTTGTTTGTTGGTTGGTAAACTTATGCTAGGGCTAGATTCAAATCATCATACAGCCAGTGGAGAATGACCTTGAGTTTCTGATTCTACTCCTACTTCCCGAGTGCTGGGCAGACACTTGCCTGACGTGTACAAGGTGTTCTGTTCAATGTCCTAACAATGCTTTAAAAATTAAATAAACATAAATCAGATTATTAACTTGTCCCTCTTTATTTCCTTGCTCACAATCCCCCAATGGCTCTCATTCTTTTCAGTTTAAACTCCAACTCCTTGACATTAATTACAAGACCATGTGTTTGAACAGCTGCCAGCATTTGCCTAATGTTTATCAAAGGTCATGTCATGGTGGTGGTGGTGGGGAGCATGATGTGTTTTTTAAATAGTTATTTTCTCGAATGAGTATTTCCTGGCACACATTTTTTTCAAAGATTTAGCACATTAAAGTTCTAGTAAAATGAAACTTCTATCATGTACTTTTTGTACACTCGAGGCTCTTCCTGATAGCAATGGGTAAAGTACTTCTAGCCCTCTAGTGTCCAAGCCAAACATCCATGGTCTCTTCTGGAACCCCTCCTTTTGTCCACTGCTTCCCACTATTCTACTCAATCCTTGATGTCCCACAAGATAAGATGGTTCAACGTTCCCATAGCGCCATGTTCATATATTAATGAAGAGAATTCTGAAACTCTTGTCTGTCTTTAGTATTGTGATGTAGACAACAAATCTATTGACACATTTTTATTTTCTTTGTGGGACGGAGTGAAGGGTGTAGAGACTGATCTCAAGTAGTGCAGGCTAGCTTTACACTCTAGCTAAGAATGACCTTGAATTCTCCAGGGATTACAGGCATGCGCCAGCACTCTGCTCGGTTCGGTTTTTCCTTGTTCTATACCAAAAGCGTAACACACTGTTCCTTCTAAGTGAGTTTTAACACATTATGCATAAATAAAAATTAGTTGATTTACGAATAATGGTAACTTCTCCAAATTGCACATATGGAGAGAGAGAGAGAGAGAGAGAGAGGGAGGGAT